GGCCTCTTGGCTTCCGCGCGCGTTACCTGTCGCACTCCGGTCACGTTGGACCCTGGTCATCTTCTAGGTGGTCAGGTAGGTGCCCTTTTTAACCCCTTTTTTGGTTGGGAGGATTCCCCTACTAAAATAGACTACAGAAAAAGTTGGTACCCTTATTGGAACCTCTCTACTGGAGGACCCAGTCTTGCTGGTGCTCCGTCGGGAAGTTGAACCTGGGAATTTGCTTAAAAAGGACACAGGAAGGGATGGGTTTATAGGGCTCATTCCCTCGTTCCCTGCTGAGAACCAGGAAGATAGTTTGGTGGTAAACACGAAGGCAGGATATCTTTGCTGACTCGCCCACCCAAGAAGCGAGCTTTTCATAGTTGTTGATCTTTTGGCTTTCCGTCCTTCCGTCATTGCCCTTAAAATTGCCGGGTTTCCTTTGAGCCTTTTCAACATCTTTCCAACAAAAAGGGGCGCTCTTTATTTATGCATTGTTCTTCCACCGCAAACTTCTGGACGTTTTTCACAACGAGCCTAGCGCGGGGATAACACGAGCGACTTGCTTGGCCCATCATGAAGGTTCTTTGCTGGGGGTTCCTTAATTCCCAGTTTCAGAATTATAGGGAGGTCTCCTCCAGGCCGATCTGATATTTTGGGGTGGACTAAGTATGAAGCAAGGCCAAGCGTGGTGATTTGCCCCTCGGCTACTCAGTTGTTGCACGAAGCCTTTGACCTATGGCCGTTTCCAACGCTGATCATCGACTTCGGTCGGTACTCACCCAAATGAAAAGATGTCCGCTGAAATGGATGGGGTTTTCCTTTGTCCCCTTTCATCCCAAAAGGATAGTGGCTGGAAGCTCGAACTTGTTTACGCAGAACTAGATCGGTCTTTTTAGGTCGCCCTTGCATTTCCGCATCATTTCCCATCCAGGCAGCCCAGCTTTTCGGATTGGCTAGGGTGTGCCGTCGAAACTAGGTGCCCTTTCTCACCCCTTCTTTGGTTGGGAGGGTTCCCCTACTCAAATAGACTACAGCAAAACGAAACGGTACCCTTCGAACATCTCAAATCTGGAGGACCGGGGAAAAAAAGCTCCGCTGGAGGCTACCTCATGGTGCCCATCGTGCCCTCCGGCGCCGTGGAGATGCCGCTCTTCCGCGAGCCCGAGAAGTTCGACGGCCAGGAGGCGGCGAGTCTCGCAGCGAGTCACGCGAGCCACGCGAGCAGCGTCCGGTGGGGTCATCGGGGATGGGTTGGGCCGGCTTGGGTTTCTTTTCTGGCCGCGAGGGGCGGGCCAGGGTGCCTGTGTCGTTCTTTTTTTTTTGACATTTTGGAGGTGCATGGTTTTGGGTCCTGTCTTTTGGGTGCGAGCTGTTGGGTGGAGGTTTGGGCCTTTTGAAGCGTTTACCTTTTTTGTCCCGCCATTCCGAGAACCCTGGCAACTTGCTGGATGTGCAGCCCGCTGCAATGAAAGTAGGTCATTTCGCCATACGTTCGATGGCTATGAATAGCTGGGTTTGGCTTCTTATTCATGATCATGGTTATAACGCAACTTACTGCTGAAGTGGATGGAACATCCAAGTCGGGAAGACTTCTTGCCAGGCTCCTTCTGATTCTGACCCACTCCTTGCTCTCCCAGTTTCGTGTGCAACACGTGTATTTCCGGTGCCAACCTGCTTCAAACATGGCCCCTGGTCGTAAGGAATCAGTTGCTCTGGGAATCACGTGTCTGTAGGACAGCCTTAGTTGGAATCGCTTAGCGTTCCAAGGGCCATTTGAAACATCACAGCGTGGTTGTGCCAATTTGAAGAAATGAGCTTCCTTTTGCGTTCAAATGTCGATTCCAATGGCGCCTTAAAAGTTTGAGAGATGATCTCTAATTGCAAGCATCCAATCAATCTTAGTTCCAATTGATTTCTCGTGGTTGTCCACTGTGATTCAAATGGAAGCACTGTGTACAGTCGAATAGTATGGACTGACCATGAACGCTCAGATGTCGTGCATGCCCTGAGGTCAGCTTGCCAAATGAGGAGGAGATGAAGGCGGTTTTTGGGTCTAGAAGGGAAGGGACAATGTGGGTCTCAAATAGGGCAGCCCAACTGGCTTTCTTTCGGACTCCCTTTAAGCCAACTTGGAAGGGCAGTCTCAAGAGCACACATCCCTCACCAAGATATTTTTCTAAACGGGATAGCTTGCCGGGGGCCCATGTGGTAAGCATGCACGCCTGAGAGCTCATAAGCATGCAGCATGGGCAAGCCTGCAAACAAGAAAGCAGGGTGGCGGGAAAGCAGGTAGGGAGGGAAGCAGGGAAGGAAAGAGCAAGGAAGAAAGGAAAATTGGCAGGAGCAAAAGAAGCATAGCAGCTGGCAGCATAGGGCTGAACAAAAACACTATGGCAAAAGGGTCTGCAGGGTAACCAGTCATGAAACCACCTCGGACTTGCGCTTCCACTTGTGTGTGTGTGTGTGTGTGGGTTTGTTTTTTTTGAGGTACCTTTCCCAGGTTTTTTCTTGTAGGAAAACTACAGGCCAACAGGTCCAAATTCCTACTGACAGAGGATTTTCTCAATCGACCGTTGGAGCTCTGAGGCTTTACATCACGGACGCGAACACTTTTGCTATAGGGTTGTCAAGGGTCTGATTCCCAATAGGATCTGATTCCCCAATCGAAGAAGATGGGGCCCAAAGAAACCTCGACGCAACAGCAAGTGGGGCGGTTGCGGAGGCCAAAGCCGGGGTGCGCCCCGAGAACCATGAAATCACGGGCGGCCTGACTTCTGACGCGGTCCGTGGTTTTCTGTCAGCTTCCATGATTAGAGGGTGTGCAAGACAACAAAAAGTCGGATATACAAAGCAGTATTGGAGCAGGGTATTTTGTGAACAAAAGTATCGTCTTTGCCATATAAACAATGCAACGTCTGGTATTTGGAGTAGGGGGGGGGGGGCGGGGGGGATTCCCATTGCCCCGTCGGCGGGAGGCTGCAATCGACAGGCTCCAGAGGCCGCTTTGGGCTTAGGCAAACAGCCGCTGGAGCACTTGGAGAAGCCAAAGGAGTGTAGACAGGAGGTGTTTTCATGTTAAGACGGCTTGAGTCAGGGTTGCAACCTTGGCAACCCTGTTCCGTGAATGGGGATTTGTCTGAACATGGGCGGTGCTTCTTGGTATCCCTTTCAAAACCAACCCCAAGGGGGGCAACCCAGCTCACTGGCGCTTTTGACTTGCCTTTCCAGGCTTTTTGGATTCGAAAGGCAAACCGCAACCTGCTTTGTGGGAGGGCTTTGTGGGGCGGTGTTGAAGGTTCAAGACCTTTAGACGCTGTCTGAATCTTCTGGTGTTCAACAGGGTGAGCCCGAAAAGGTCCCTCTTTGTGGCGTTGAATTGATCACCTTTCAGTTTAATGCCGATACAAACGGAGTGCTCTTTGGTCCAATGTTGAAACGGGCAACACGTTTTGGAGCCCTCTGACGCATTGAGAGTCCACAAACTGACGCCGCTTTGAAGGTTGGTCTTGAGGCGTATCATTTTTGTTGGCCTCGTGGTCACTTCCATGGAGGCTCTGAATGCGTTTTGCTTGGATGTGTCTCCTACCACTCCTCCCCAAAACACCACCGCCCCAAGGCACTGCACCCAAATGTGGTCGATATTTGCCTTCCCCGTGGCCGGTTTGCTTTTGGAGGGTGGTGTATTTGGGCGGGTCCCACACACGCTGGTTTTGACGCGTAATATAGGTGGTCAGCAAAAACCAGAGTTTCGGTCTGTTATCTGCCCCAGGGATATGTTACTGTGTTTTCCCAAGTGACTTTTGTTTGATCGAACAAGACTAAATTAGGCGAGTTCCTTGTTTTCCCTGGTTGGTTTGGTCAATGAGTTTGTTCAGCCGGGTGTTTTTTCGTGTGTTTTCGACTCCATGTATTGTCTCCATGGGCCCGCGGTTCCGCTTTGAGGCCCAGCAAGTTGGCCTGGCTCCGCCTTCGCCGGCGCCAGCTGCGGGCGGGCGCTTTTTTTGGTCCACCGTGTTTTTTTCCGATTTCCGGGCGGCGGCGGATAAGAAGCCTGTGTGCATGGTTAACGTCAACCCCGGATTGACAAGCCCATCCTACCTGGGGGGGGTGTTCCCCTCTAATGAGCCCCTACCAAAAGGGGAGACCTTAGCGTTAGTCAGCCGGAAGGGCTAATAATCTGGGGATAGCATTGCAAAATCCACGTGAATCGATCAGCCATCTGGGCTTGGTTTATGAAATCTCCACTGGCGCAAAGTGGAGTTTGTCAATCCAGGGCCTAACGGTTTGTTGGTTTCCATAGGACACCGATAGGGGAAGGATCATTTGGTTCACTTTGTCCACACAGTAAACTCCCGGCATAACATATATATATATATGGTGCGTGTAAGGGCCTAAGGACTTAGACACAGGGCTGTGGTGTATTCTATAACTGGGCCATGAAGGGGTCATGACTCAAGGACCCTATCCGTGTAAGGTTCCCCCTACATCCCATACCGCGCAAAAAGCGCGGTAGGATTGATGTTAACCTCTGGCTAGAAAGGAAGCTCATATACCATATAAATCCAGGTTCTTCAAGAAGGCACCAGGGTATTTGGAGTGCTTTCCGTTGGCCCTTTGGCCAGGCGCAGCAGAAGCAATCCGAAGACACGGACGAAAATGGGGAGCCAAGCCGCGCGCATGAGGGGCACGCTCAGACTGATGAGGGCTGATGGAGGAAGTGAGGGTTTCAGTCAGGTTGCCAGTGATTTCGTCATGGCCCACTTGGCATCGCAGAGAGGTCTTGGTGATTTTTCCAAAGCCATGATGGGGCCCTTGGCGTTTTTTTACCTCACTTCCTGTGGTTCCGCTCCGGAGCCTTTGAAGCCCTACCAGCCGAAGAGGGATGGGATCTCTTGATTTAGCCAAGCATATGTTATGTGGGGTAAGCTAAATAAGGAACTGAGCCAGAGCATCTGAGTTGATGTGTAGCCCTTTCTGCCACTTGGCGAGACTGTTTGTTTGAGAACTTGCGTCAGGTCTGCAGCAACGGGAGGAGGCAGAGAGGAGCCAGAGCGCGCTGATCTCCAAAGTGGAGCGGGGATGCCTGGTCGGGTTTCTGGGGGGGGGGGGGGTTACTCACTTCCTGAGTTCATGAACTTTAAACTTTTTGGCAAGACCATTTTAGCGCTAACTATAAGGTTTCGACATTTTTTGGGCCATCCACTCAGCCAGCAAGCTTATCAAAGTCAGAACATGTGGTTGTTTCCCTGTAGACTTTGATCATGGCTTAGTCATGAGGCCAGTTTACGGGGCGGGGTGGCATTGCAAACGTTTCGGGCGTGTACTGCCCCGACAAACCATCACCGGAATAGTTCCTTTTTTATGGCTGCTTTGGTCAATTGTGGCAAATATCAGGCCCCCCCAAAAAACAATAAGCTCAGGCGATATCCCCAACAGCACCACACCCGCCCCGGGACCCACCTCACCGCCTTGTAACTTTATGAAGCAAAGCTAAGAGTGACAGCGCAATCGCGCCCTGATTGGGGCCCGACGGCACAATCAAAGCTCGATCGGGGCCCGACGTCACAATCGGGCCCGATCGGGGCCCGGTCGCAAACCGTTGCGTGAAACTTGTTTTCCTCAGGGCTGCCCCATTGCTTTTGCAGAACCTGGTGGAAACCTTGTGAAGCGCTTTTGGAATTTTCTTCCGAACCCAAAGCACCAAGTAATACTCAGTAATGCCAAGCATTTACTCTGCTACACAGTGAGTTTGCCACAAAGCCAGTGCGTTGCCTGAGCAAGTGAGCAAGTGACAACACAGTGTTTCGGTTTTGCTTAGTGTTCCGCCTATGAGCAAAGCGATCTTCTGAGCCCACAATTTACTGCTCCGATGGCTTTTCAGACGGTGGGCGCACGACACATTGCTTCCTTGCAGAACACTTGTGGAACTTGTGGAGCGTTGTACCCTTGTCCGGAACTGCTGTGAACCCTTACCTCAGGGCCGGACCATCCCACAGCCCGTGGAACCCTGAAACCCTCATGGAACCCCCGCAGCCTTGCTAGACTCTCATGGAACCTTACCTTGCGCAATCCGGTGGAAGCGTGGTTGACTTGCAGAACCTGGTGGAACCTTGGTGGAGTTACCTGCTAAAACCCTGGTGGAAGAACCTTACCTCCAACCACCCCGGACCACCCCGCAGCCCTTGCAGAACCTGGTGGAACCCTTGTGGAACCCTCGTGGAACCTTACCTCAAACCACCGGACCACCCCGCAGCCCTCGCAGTGGTGGAACTCTGGTGGAACCCTCGTGGAATTGTAGTGGAACCTTACCTCAGGACCGCCCCGGGGCCCCCCCCCAAAAAAAAAAACAATAGCAGGGCCCCCCCCCCCGCACAAAAACAAAGTAGGCACCCCCAAAACAAAATGCTCGTGTAGCCGTTTGGTTTCCCTTTGAACCAACTTGGAACGAGCTTCAAGCAGTTCACCCACTGGTGCAGCTCTCCGACTGAGGCAGCTTTCCCAGTGCAAGCTCCATGCTGAGCAGCAGATGCGGGAGGCGAAGCGTTTTCTCATTGGGAGGTTGCTAAGAAGGAAGCCCTGGTCGATGAGTTCGGGTGGGTAGGATTCTTTTTAAGGTGGGAATCCTATACTTGTGTTTGTGACACCCCCCCTTATACCTACTTGCGAGAGGGGGGGGGAGACACCAGGGATAGAGGAAACCCCAAAGTACTGGGAGCTGAGGCTACCAGCTGATCCCCTCCCCCACCCCGTTGCATTGGTGCCTATGTTTGGGGAAGCAGGGGGGTGGAGAAGCACGGCTCGGAATCCTGTGAAATGTTCAGCGATCGGACGGGCAGCAGCTTCAATACGTTTTTTTTGCTCCTGGACTTTAGTCACTTGGGCGCCTGGACCAGTTTAGCGGCACGCAGCGTGGGAGAGCCTTTGTTCAGTGTGTTCGGGTAAGCCCCATGGGTATAGGCCCTTTCAGGGTCCCTGGTGTAAAAGGACGTGCTTGAGTTGGGATTTGTCGCGTCAGATGCATGTCGCACAAATGAGGTCCTGGTATGCCCTTTAGTCAACGGGTAAGCAAACCAGCTGTGGGTGACAAAAAACCAGTGCATGTCTTCGGAATATTTACGTTTGGTACCGGTTCCAAAAGTCTGCCTAGCATATGGGTTTCAAGCTTACCATCAGGTGTTGGAATTGTAGAATTTGAGCAGCATCATCCTAGTGAAACCCGCCTTGGTCATTGTGCAACTGTTGAAGGGCAGATCCAGTGACGTGTGGGAACATCCAGGTACTCGTTGCTGGTGAGTATGCGTTCCACCTTGGTTAGATTAGGGGAAAAGCACTTTTTCGGGGGTCCCTCTACTTTGACACATACCCAATGGGTCAACAATCACACACCGTCCCCTAACATGGTCATTTGGACACTTAAGTACCCCAACCCCTCGTAGTTCGTTCGCCCGTACACCATGCGACTCCAGGCGCAGGCGGAATCCCAATGGCCGTGGCCTCGATTTGTCTTAGGAAGGCTCCCCTCGCGCCATGCGCGAGTCTGTGTTGCAGCCAAGAGCTCCCAGAACAGAAATGCTCCAAAGGGGGGGGCCTGAAAGCTCGGCGAGTTCGAGAAATAAGTTTTGCCGGCTGAACTAGAGGATCTTGTACAGCAGGTGGCTTTTGGACGTCTCCTTCCACCGGAACCCTTCACAAGAAGGTGATTGCAAATCAGCTCTGGCTGTCCTCGGCTTTTCTTTCGGGGGGGAGGGAGCCTCGGAGAAAATCTAAAGGACCCCAGGCAAGCCCGTGCGTTCACGCGGTCCCTGTATGAACCCTTCGGGTTTCCGCCGCTGCGCCACGTGATTCAGTTTGTCCTTCGATTTGCGAACAGTTTGCCAGGAAGCCTTGGGTTAGAATCCGGGGGTTTGAGCCTGGGCAAGTTCCGGGACAGCTTCAAACCCGGCAAGCTGAAGGGTTCCCTCCCCAGTCAAAGATTACCAACGCTTGGGTCAAACAAATGTAAAACGGCTTTGGCTTTCTCTTGTTTGCCGAATGTCTACCCATACCCTTGTCCCAGGTTGACTGGGAGAAGCTCAAACTGGGTTTGGTCTGTTTTTGCCCACGGGGCAGCCATGTGACTCTCAGGTGTTGCCTGTTGACCACACCATAGGGACGGACATCGACGACGCTTTAGAGTTGCCTTTTGATTATATGGGCATGGATCAAAATTCAATCAGCAAGGAACCACATATTTGAGTCTATGTTTCCATTTACCAGGGTTCCATTTTGGGCACCTATTTTTGACCCACGGCCATATAATTCTTCTCGGGGGTTTGGATGATGGTAAAAGCAACGCCAAGGGAAAACAACTTTCCTTGGTGTGTGTGTGTGGCCCGCACAGCGGTTGTCAATTGTAAGCCAACCTTTTTGGCCTTTGGTTTTCTCTCTCTGGTCTATGTTCAGTCAAGATCCTAGGGTTGAGGTGGACGTGACCCTGGCTTGCACGAACTCTCAGGTCCCAGCCACTCTGAAAGTGCGAGTTCTGAACAATACGATTCTCACTGGCTTCAGAGGGAAACTCACCCAAAGCAAATAACAAAGGATCCAAGAGTTGGCGAGCTTGTAAGCAGGGTGTTGCTTCCCGATTTTGTCTGCTCTGTTCAACAGTTTGTTTGTTTGTTTGCTTGCTTGCTTGCTGGTCTGTTTTCCTTTGTTTCTTTGTCTCTTGTTTGCTTGTTGCTGGTATACTCGCAGAGCACGCTTGCTTGCGCGCCGTTCTTGAACATCTCTTTGTTTCTCTGCTTGCTTGTTTGCTTCTCCTTGTTTGTTTCTGGGGTCATTATTCTTGACGGTTCCTGGGGGTTATCAAAGTCATTAAATGGAATCGGTTGTTTCCCTTTAACCCACCACTTAGGGGGTGACTCTGATCAAAGTCAGAAAATGGGGCCATCTCTTTTAAGGATTTGTGTTTATCTTTTTAGTTGTTGTGTTTTTGTTAAACAAAAACAGAAAAACAACTCGACCATTTGCTTTGCTTCCCGTGCCCCTTCTGCGGAAACACACCGAATGCGAGGCTCCGGAAGGAGCTGGCGCTGGCCCGGCGACAGGATGCCGCCGACTTGCCGTGGCTTTTTTCTTCGAGCGCTTGTGGGGCATGTCGAAGTAGCCGGAGTCTCCTCCCAAACCTATGATCTGTTGCAGGAACAAGAGAATCACACACCAGAAAATCTGTTATTTTTCGGTGTAGACTGGGTTTCGGCCAGGAAACTTAGTCCGTGGGCCATTTTAGCGGCAAAGAAGTTTGGGTTTGTCTTGGCTGGGGTCCCTTTAGTTCTATCGGTGTCTTTCAACATTACCTCTTTGGCCCACTCACGGTGAGTTTCCTTGGCAGGGAGGGAAGTAGTAAACATTGGGGACTCTGTTTGGCCAATCCACTCAGGGTATTTGTGTCCTTAGCCTTAGCCCCAACAATCGTCACTAGTCGCCACAAAAGGTTGCCTTTGGCTCAGTTGCTCCCCTGGGCCAGTCGGATGGGCGGATTCAACATGAGCCGCACCCAAACCCCCTGTTTGCCGTTTGGCAAACGGTTCCACAAAAGTTCTACTACTTGGTTTATGAGGTGAGCAAGGCTTATATATGCCTTTAGAACCATGTTATATAGAAGCAGAAGTCGGGTGATTTGAGCGGAAATTGCAGGTTGGTTCAGCCTGCCCCATGACTTTAAAGCACTTTGTCGGGTGCACGCTCTTTGAAGCATGGAGGGGCTTAGGGTTTGGGCTGCAGGTTTGGGTCAAAGCTACAGGCTAGACTTTTTGGAGTGGCTGGGTTGCTGGGTGGCTGGGTGGCTGAGTTCTGGGCGGGTCACATCTCCACATCCTTTGACTTGTCTGCTAGTTGGTTGGGCTTTGTCGTGTCCCACTCAGCACGCACAACCAATCGCGATGCCCAACCCTGAACAAATCGCCGAGTAAACCTGACGAACACCGTACGCGGCGTTAGTTCCTGGACTCTCAGCTTTGCATGTGGAGCAAGAGGGGAGAACATGGGAAAAGGCAACTTACACGGGTGAAGTAACAGCCCAAGGGGGCCATTTTCTAAGTCACTCCTGAGTTTGTGGACTTGATACACCTTTGGCTTTGAACCATTTTAGTGGCAAACAAGAAGCGTTTTATTACCTTTCTCCAGCCAATCAAATCAAGTGAGGTCAGCAAAACGCCGAAACTGGCCGCTTGTCTTCCGACTGAGAAGATTTGGCTGTGGGTCAAACCCAATGGTACCATTTTGGGGTAGGTGCACCACCCATTTTAGAACCTATTTTAGTGGGGATTGGGATGTTCACTGGGGGTACGATGGATTTTGACCCATGCCCATTTGCTTGGCAGGAGCTCGAGAACTGTGGGGAGCCAGACGCCAACAACGTGCCGCGCCCTCAGCGCTTCTCTCTGCTGTTTTTTTCCCCCGCAATGCTTGTCTACCCCAAAACGGGGCGACGTACCAAGTGATGTAAGTGATGTGCCCAGATACAAAAGAAGCTAACCCTGGACCACTTGACGCGTGCTGCTTCCTATTAGAATTATGCGCCAAATGATTTGAAGGGGGGTGTGGGGGACTTTGAAATATGTCAGGATCACAGGGGAACAGTGTGCACAGTTCCTTATCCCTTTGTGTTGACGGGATCTCATTTGAACGGATCTTCCCAGGCCATCGGTGCCTGTCCCTTTGGCTTCCCGGGACAGAAATGGCCTGTGCATCCCGACTCAGGTTCCCTCGAATGAGTTTGGTTTGATGGTTTTCAGGTTGGGGAGGGGTTCACATTTAGCATCCACAAGAACCAGTGCAGCCTGATCTGAGTGGATGTGAGTGTGACTAAAATAGGGTGTCCTGGTTTCTTATTGAAACACCCAAAATGGTAGCCCAGCTGAAGCGGCATAAGTGCTCGGGTTGGAGTACCCCCTCCCCGCCAAAAGACAACAACGAAGGGTTGAGCTTAGCTGCTCGTTGGAGGTTGCTTCTGCCATTCCTGGATCCAAAAACTCTTGGGTAGAGAAGTGTCACATGTTCTGACGGGTTACCCCCACACGCATGACACAATCCTGAGCCTGTATGGATTGATACGTTGACCCTGATTGATCACTCCATGGTTTGCATTTTTTGCATCTTGGGTTCTGTTCTTTTTGCTTTACCAGGGGAAGAATGTCCTCTGGAAACGAATCCAGTCCGTCGGACCAGTGGAACCAACATGGAAGCCAGAGCACATGCGCCAGTCTCGATGGCCAGGTGTTGCTCTAGATTCCTTCGCGTCGCTGGCCTCCATGCTTCGATGTTCAAGTTGGACATATGGTTTGCTTCCAGATTCGGATTTCTGTGGAAAGACTTTTAGGGGCCCCAAGGTCGGAAGTCCTCAAGCTCCGAGCTTTGATATTTCCTCGGCTGAGCAGTTGCCCAAAGGAAGGTTTCCTCTTTCTCCAGACTCCAAGCGAGGGCCCCAGGCCCTTTGAGGGTGCGCTCAGTTCGCCTGTTCGCAAGGCATCCGCCGCCAACGAAGCTGCTTGGCTGAGATTGGTCGGGGCTTTTTTGGGCCGGCCGGGGCTGACCGATGTAGTTGTGGACCTTACAAACCCCCCTGCAAAGGAACAAGCAAGCTCGACTCTACTTGGTTAGATCTTTTTAGCCTTTCTCATTTTTTTTGTGAAACAGTTTGTTTTCTCACAAATCAGCAACAAGTGAACCATTTCGTACAAGGGCAATAGCCGCCCAGCAAGGGAGCCAGGGTTTGCGGTGCCAGTGAAACGGAATTGCAGGCCGCGCGAGAATCAGGCGGAGTATTCCAACGGTTGGGTCATTTCAGCGGTTATGAAGCTCAAAGAGGAGGGGTAGGGACAGTCCCAAAGTGGGTGCGGATATCTGCCCTTTTGATTTGTTTTCAGGGTTTTGGCTAGAAGTCTTAAGCAATACAAGGGGCTCTGTGTAATTTCACTGGGGGTTCAAGGTACCATGAACTTACTAACAGCTACATCAAGCAAGTCATGAACATGGGCAAGTAAGTGTTAGTTCAGCCCCGACCGAGTTTTGGTGACTCACAGGCGACTTTTTTCTGAATCCACTTGAGACGTCGCTTCCGTGCCGTCAAGGCCTTGAGTTCTTTTCCGGATGTTCAAGACACCCTTTGGGCAACTTTGTTTATTGAGGCCCCAGAAGAACGAAACCACAAGTCGGGGATGCCAGCCCAAAAGGAGACAAGCAGGAGGCAGGCCGCAAAACTGAGACGGCTCTAATGGCCTTCACCGAAAGGCCGCCTTTGCGCTCGTCCTCCTGGTCCCCTCCGCCACAGCCGCTGCCTCGATGCTTCGCTGCGCTTCGACGGCGATGTTGGCAACGTCCTGTTCTGTCCGGGTCCGGGTGTTTTCAAGAGGAGTCCTGGAAATTTAGGGATTTATGATGGTTCTCCTATAAAACGGCGTCCCGAGTTCTAGAATCGGAATGCTTTTGACAGACAAGCTGGCAGATGTTCGCTGCACGCGCAATGGCCCAATCAGGATTAGAGGATTCCTGACCTTTTTCTGGGTGCGAACCTCGCGTTCTCAGATGGCCGCGCAAATGATAGCATTTGATGGGAGAGAACGTGAGTTACGCCCTTCGAATTGATCCTGGTAGGCGCCCTTCTTGCTCGGTCACCTCGTTGCACGGGCCTCCGACGTATTGCACTTGAACAAGCAAAGATTGCTAGGCTTGAGCCGGTCTGACCTTGCAAAACTCGGAAACCAAAGGCTGCGCAGATGTGCCCTGCCTTCTGCGGAACTCCCGTGCAATTTCCATACGTGGTTACTGAGTGAGGAGTGCCATAGGGTTACCTTGATATACAAGATTCCCGGGGCACGTGCAGAATTATCTTGGCCGTATCAGAGTGATAGCTGGCGTGGCAGAGCCCCGCGGAACTTCCACCGAGCTTCCAAATGTAGAGTCATAGGAGTGCCACGGGGGGAAGGGGGGGGAGGGTGGGTCAGAATTCTCTTGGCTGTGTCAGAGTGCACTTGCACGGAAGGACATAATTGGCGAGGCAGAATCCTGCAGAAGTGCCTGGCTGCCGTTCTTGCTGAGGGCATAGCATGTCATGCAAACGCAAGCCCTAGGCTTTGCAAAGAAGCTGCGGCGGACACGGCTCTCCAAAGTCGGCCACTCCAAAGCAACTCCAAGACTCCAAGCATCACGACCATGAAATTGGAACCACCATTCCGCCGGAAGCAATGTTTCCGCCCGGTCCAGGTCACAGTCTTGCCACGAGCTGCACTTTGCTCACTCTAAGGGCGAAGAGTCGGCGCGCGCGGAGATCCATGGTTGCAGCTGACGCATTGGTTCACTTCTGAACGAGCTGCGCTCCTGCCAGAGAGATGCTGCCCATGGGATTGATTACCGTCGGTTCTGACCCTTGACCATCCATGACCAGGCCCTGTGCCTCAGGCAAAAACACCAAAGCGAAGCGCCAACAACGTTGAAACTGAATCTTGGCCACCACGAAGTGTTGCACATCCCTCTCTCCACTCCACACGCCAGAATTGTCAGCTGCATAGCATCTGAAGGAAATGCTTACATTGATACCAAGCAGAATGCTTCACGACACCTTGCCCAGCTGAGCGAATGCACGCCACAGCTCGTGGCGCTGAGTACATTGCCTAGGTCCCCCAGTAGTGCCCTTTTACCCTTTTTTGGTTGGGAGGGTTCCCCTACTAAAATAGACTACAGACAAAAAAAAGTAGCGGCACCCTTATTCTAACCTCTCGACTGGAGGAGCTAGTTGCGGTTTTGTGGATTTTTGGACTTGAATCGGCTTTTTTGCAGCCGAGGCGTGGAGAGAAGGCGGCGGCGACGGCGCCGCCAAGTCCCAAGCACAGCAGCGGGCTCAGACCTAAAGCCGGTTGCCCCAAAGAGGAATAGGACCCTGTCGCTTTTACCCCCCGTTGGATTGGCCCTGGCAAAACACAACACACTGGTGATGCAGAGGATGTCGACCCATTTTGTCTCAGAGCGTGTCCAACATCCGCATTTCAACGGCAGGAGACATTATTTTTGACCAATTTTTGTTTGCGAGGTGGGAGATTAGCAGCAGTTACGGAAGTTTTGAGGTTAGAGGCTAGAGGTTGGGTTAGATGGAGTTCGAAGTCTGTCGTGTGAAGAACTTGCCAGCCGCGGCAACCCCCCCCCAACCAGACTCCCCACTTAAGAACATGCCATCCCCTTTGCCAGAGGATGGCGTGGCTTTGGCCCAGGATTCTGACGCAACCCACGGTTCCTTTTTGGTGGTTTCAAGCATCACCGTTTTAGCCAACTTTAAGAAACCCTTGCCCGAAGGGGATTTCGGGAACCACGGAGGTTCCTTTGTGCTACGGGGCGATGTTTTTTGAGAATACCCCTTTCTACTTGGCTGAAAGGAAACATCGCCCATGTTTAGTCCCCTTATGTTTACCAGAATTTTCGGGGGAAACAAGTTTTGGGGAGGCTTTGCGGTGCTGTCACAGTTTGCAATCATATCCGTAAATGGGTGCTCTGAGCTTTTGAAAGATGATTACTGGCTCAAGGTAGAGCATTGGTGTTTTCCATCACCAATGCTCTACCCTCGTGCCAGTGATGTTCCTTCTTTCTTTTGGAGCGTGTCCCTCAACGTGAATCAAAATTGCTTTTGGGGGGCGTTTCCCACATAAGCGGCAATGTAGAACATCAAGCGCCAAGAAGAGAGAGAGAGAGAGAGAGAGCGCTTTCTGATGGAAACCCACAGGTCTGAGGAGGGAGAGGGCCCGAAATATCACTGTCGGTGCCAGTCAGCCGCTCCACCTCCCTCGAGTGTTTTGCTTCTAAGCCGAGGCCCACAGAAACAGGCTTGCCCCAACCACATAGTTTTCCCGGGCAGACGCTTGGCTCGCTTTCGGTCAGGGGCGTAAGTTTTTAGACTATGCCCAAGCAAGCTGTTGGCATGCCGTCGCGTTTGAGGTGCCAGGAACCGCGGCGCGTGCAGTTCGGCAGCCCGGGGGAGAAGAGCGAGGAGAGAGACGCAACGTTTGGACTAATCTAGCCTTCAAAACAATTTAATTGGTTTTGGTAAGCTCTGAGATATAATCTTCAGGTCCTTCAGAATCATGGTTGGATTTGTTTTGCAGCTGAAGGTGCGCCTCCGGCTCAGGCCGCCGACATTACTGGCCTGCTTTCTTACATGCATCTCACAGGTACTACAGCGTGTGTGCGTGCCAGAGATCCCATGTGGGAAGGGGCCTTTCGTTTGACTTGGTTCATGTCTCTTGTTCTACACGCGCAGCGCGCATAGCAATGGACCAAAGCTTTGTTCTGCTGATGGCATTCTTGCCTGTTGCTTTTTGTTTGCAATGTCCTTTGTCGTTTTGTCAATTCCCAGTAAGGTTTTGCTCATGTCCAATAGGCACGCCATTCTGGTGATGCTGAGGATGCGAAAACGAGGATGCTGGACAGCGGCCCAGGGGACACCATTGTTTTTGTTGGGGGTAGTCTTTGGCAAAGCTTTATTCCCCAGGGTGTTTATTGGCAGCGGTGAGAACAATTGTTTGAAACCTAGTGCCCCAAGGGTATGTGTTCAGGAGGGTTGCTTGAACGGCAAGGTTATGTATTCCTTGTCAGGAATCGAAGCCGCCCATTTTTAAGCCAAGTATTCAACGCAGGGGGCTTCCTTCCTAAGAAGGCGGGCAAGGGCAAGCAGAACATCTAGGAGGCCGCCGTCAAGCAGGAAGAATTTCGCGCTCTAGCGCCAGAGAAAGACAACCATAAGTGTGCATTGGAATAGACTACAAGTGAGACATAATCTGGGTGATATGTAGACAGGAAATACTTTTTTTTACAGGGGACCCTCCAAATTTTCAGAAGTTTTACTTTTTGGTATGTTTCTTTTGGGGAAAACCATTTTGTCCATGAGACCAAGGCAGTGAGCCTCGGTCCTTCGCCATGGCCCGCAGATCCGCCGTGGCTTGCGACGATCGGCTTTGAGCCCGGGGCTGGTGCAGCGCATGTGCCAAATTGCAAGTAAGCCCACCATACCCAACCGAAGAACCATGGTAAATCACAGTAACTTGGGGAGTGTCCAGTAGTTTCCATGCTCCCTGCTTGAATAGTTGTTTGGGCACCCGTCAACTTGTTGGTTGAAAATGGTTCCTTCCCCACAAAAAGATAGGTTTTGGGCCAGAATCTTCTTGCGGGAGGTCGAATGGATTTTCGAGGCAGGGGCTTCGAAATAGCCCATTCTTTGGTTTTCTGGCCAGTTGCTTTTTCTTCTGCGATCTCTTCGAAATCTGAGCCCTGCACTGACCGCCAGACACGTTGTGTTTTTGTGACGCGCCAGGTAGCGCCAGTCTCAAGCCTCCGTGCCCTCCTCAGAAAGAGAGAGGGCTGCCCCGAGTGACTGACCTCGTGCCTTTCTCTTGGCAACCCCCGCCCCCCCCCCCTCCCCGAAAAATGACAATAGCAACTTGGTGGCTCCCAGCCATCCGGTTCCTTAGCCTTTTGGCTTTTTAGTGTTTAGTGGGGTTTTCCATTTGGCCCACTAAACGTTAAACTTTTAGCGGGGGATCTGAGGACAGCTCAGGCAGTTCACCTTCTGGTCCCCCTTTTAAACAGCAAAAGAGGGTAAGATCTTTGGTTTGATCCCCACGCTTAAGAGAATGGGGAAGGTCCGGCGTGAAAGTTGAGGGAATCTCAAAATTGGTTTGGTGAAGGTAGGACGGATATGTATATGTATAGATAGATGGAGAGAGAGAGAGAGAGATAGATAGATAGATGGATAGAAAGATAGATAGAAAGATAGATAGATAGATAGATAGATATACGTAGGAGAGATATGTACATAGATAGAGAGCTAGAAAGGTAGGTTGGCCCGTCGTTAGATTAGAGATTGGATTAGTTCAGGTTTGAGCCGATAGATAGACTGGATTAGATTAGATTGGATTGGATTTGATGGATAGGTAAGTAGGCAGGTAGGTAGATAACTAAATAGACAGATAGGTGGATGCATGTAAGATGCGTACATGGACAGACAGATGGACAGATGGACAGATAGCTAGGTAGATAAATCCGTGCACAGATAGATGTATGGAACAGGCAAATGGACGGAAAGACGAATCGCTAGGTCAACAGACAGGCAACTGGATAGCAGGGACACGCAACGGTAGCTTGCAACTCATCTGCGTTCGGGTTCGTGGCCTTCAGGTCCATTCAATCTTGCCCACAAAATGTAAATGACTAGGTCCCCCAGTAGTGCCCTTTGACCCTTTCTTTGGGGGAGGGTTCCCCTACTACAATAGACTACAGGAAAAAGTTGGTACCCTGATTCTACCCTCTCTACTGGACCTAGATGATGTATTCCTTATTTGTTCAGTTGCATTTAGCTCAGTGGTGATTGTTATCTGTAAATTATCGTAGATTTGCGATTTGTTCAGTGGCGTCTGCGCAGGTGGATTCAGTTTGCCTCAGGCCTGAGCCACAGCTCACAGACGAGGTGGACGAGATGTGGCGGTCGCTGCCGGGACAGCCCAGACGTCTTAGGCATTCCGAGGACCTCTGGGGGGTTTTCCGCACGTTCATTAATGGGCGTGTCTTTTCTGGAGGGGACCCTCAAAAACGTCGTTCTCCTTCTGGTTTGCCCACCTGTAAGAAAAACACAAGCAACAACCCTGAACCAACCAGCAAAGCAAGGAACTGCTCTTCTGCACATCCAGCTGGAGGTCTGAGTGACGAGCTGACCTTTTGAGCTCTTTGGTTGTCCGAATCTTTCCCTTTAAGAGCCGGACATCCTATGCGTTGGTTCTGTCCTTCCTTCAGTTTCCCTTCTCCACCAGCAACACGTGATACCTTTTTCTAGCTCGGATCTGTTTGGCCAGCCGAGCACCGCGGTGTGTTTATGGATCCCAACCAAAACCTTCAGGCCGTTATTGCATCCCACGTTTTTGTTCGCACCAAACCCATGTTGGAGGGGTCTGTTCAACAGACCGATTTGTTCATGAACTGATTCGCGTATGGCCCACTTCAAGACAATCACCCTTTGCGACCTTGATCCGCTTGTCCAGTGGCCACTGCTGGCAACCTACTTGCCGGTACCCTCCCCTTGCGCAGCTCCAGTTCTCCACAATCAGCCACTTCCAAGCTGGAAGGCCCACTTGAGGTTGACAGATGCTTTCCAGCTTTGGCCATCGTTTCGCGGGAATCCATCAAATTGCCAGGGTTGCTCACCTCATGACCAGGTCCCAACGATGCATGTGTCAAAATAGGGCTGACCCCCCAAACAGGATTACGGTTTCCTGTTGTTTCCTAAGAAAAGTAAAAGCGTTACCCAACACAAATGCGTGGTTTCTTTAGTTTTTCTATCAGGCATACATTTGCCTTAGCCAAATTTAGTATTACGTACGCTTGCAACAAAACCAGTCAAGTTGACACATTCAACATCACTTTGGATCAGTTTGGGGTGAGTTTCTGAGTTCTGTGTGTGCCATCCTCAAATCCAAAAGGGTCTTCCACCAGATGGAACCAAGCAAAAGTTGGAGGTATTAGAACCGCAAGAAGAGAACAAACAGATATCCATGTTTGCCTTGGGTAGCAAGACGGATTTAGCCAACCATTGAGGTTCCTATTCGGGTATTTCCCGCCATGGCCCCGAGGCTGCAGCGATTCCCGCAGCATCCCCATTGGTGCTTGGTCAAGGCGATGTGGACGCGTCTGTGTTGGGAACCGGAGCTCCCGTCCAAGTGGCAGACCAGAGGGGTTCGGACCAAAGCTCTCCCTTTGGGAAAGCGGATTCTCCACCTCCGTGATGTGCATCTTTGGGGGGTTGTGCTTCAAGGAAACCAAGGGAAACGCTCAATCCATTTCGGGGATTTGTTAAATGTAGTTTTGAGACAAGCCCATACTCTTGTAAAGATGTTTTCAGGCAACAAGGTCAAGGATGGTTAGTGGGCAAAAGCAGAGGTAGAAACATATCATGAATCATTCAGCCCCTCAAACGGGAGTTTCCTCCAAGAAGGTGTCATATCTTAGGGTAGACGATGAAACAGAGCTTGAACAATTGTTTGGCTTGTGTACACCCCTTTTTTGGTAGGGCAGGCAAACACATGTTGGCAGCTTTGCCGTAATAGGGGGTTTGGATTGGTGGTTTGGAGGTTTCCCCATTTGGCCTCTACAAGAAGGGCCACAAAAACCAGCAATTGGGGGTAACCAGATTCCCCTGGGTCCTGTTGAGCCCCGTTTTTTCCGATTCGGCGCAGGGAGTGCACAGTTCAAACGAGTCCTTGTTGGACTTGGCTCCTTTGGCCAGACAAAGAGTCGGCTGGTGTTCTGTTTTTGTGGCATGGGTGTTCTCCCTGGTTTTTGGTTCCCCTTCAAGCCCACCCAATGCCAAGGGGGTGCCGACGAGGCTCAGAAGACGAGCCACTAATATGGTTCCCAAGCCCCAAAGCCCTGTCCAATGGGCAAACAAGGGCAACACTGTCTTGAGTCATACGTCTCATCCAGTCCCGCTGGGAAAAAGCCGCTGCTTTGGGTTCCTGTGGTACAAGTTGCACTGCCAAACTGCGGAACTGATTGCCGGGCGTGCTTTTCGAGGGCACTCTTTGCAGGAACGCCTGTTTGAGATATGCTTCTTTGTCTGCTCTGTTCTTGGCTGCCGAGTTTGCAAGCTTCTTCTGTTTTGCTGGGACATGTCTTGAGCATTCTAAGGACCAAGAGAAAAGTGCCGCTTGGAACGTCAAGCATGGAGAAAGTGTCCCGAGCCCGGCCCAAGACTCAAATGCTCAAATGTGTTTGGGTTCCCCTGAAAAACGAAACCAAGAAAAGCCGTCGCTGGGGGGCGGATGTCTTCGGGTTCCTGGGTTCGACAGGAGAAGCGCTGCGTGTACCGTATGGGTAGCCGGCGCCCCGGGGGGAGGCTTCCATTCTGGCCTTCAATCAAGCTCAGGGGGCCATTTCTTTTTTCCCAGCCCCAAAAGCCCCCCGCAACCTGTTTCTGACCTCCACCTTTGTGGCCCAAACTGGGTTGGGGCTCGGAAAAACCTGGGTCATCCACAATCCAGTGCATCGCTTCACCGTGGGAAGCCAGTTTTTCCAAATAGACCCTTCAACAAGTGGCTATTATCATTGCCAGACGTAGCTTACCTTTTCAACTTGTTGCCTTTTTAGTTTTTCATCATATTACCTTTCAACCAGCGAGAAGTGAAACGTTTTGCACGGGGGTCGGGTTTGGTCAATTTCTGTGGAAGGCCTTCCGGTTCGGAATCCGCATCTCACCCCGTACCCAAGTCACCATTTGTTTGTTTGCCCTCTGCCCAAGGGACATTTTATACCCAGTTAGGGCGGGTGGTTTGCTTTTCAAATATCCAGACGCACCACCGCAATACAAGGGCCTAAACAGTAGAATTGGGCTTTGGGGTGCTTGTAACATAAGCCAAATCTAGTTACTGTAGGAGCAAACCTTTGGCAATTAATTAGGCCCTTGCATTGCTGCCACCAAAGCCATAGGTAGAAGCTTCTTGCAGCCCCCCCCACCACCTGCTTGCAGCCCCAAGAGCCACTCAGAGCTTCCGTGCCCTCCGGGCAGCTTCTGAAAGCGCTCAGGTCAGACCGGGAAGAAGATCTTGTGCCGCGTCACTCATGGGGGCCTGCAGGCAACTTCGGCATCGGATGAATTAGGATTCCAGGGTTCATAGTTGTGTTGGTTCCGAATGAACAGCTCAAAGATGAGAACATGGGTTCTCTCAGCTTGATCCTGCAACACACGGGGACAACTGAATCGGTTCTCTTTGAGATTCAGAGCTCCACCAGGGTAGAGATGTGCGTGTTTGGTTGTGAGGGTAGCCCTTTTGGGTTGGCAAAGGACAGAAGGAAGACCATCATTTTTGGGGGCCCCCTATTTGGCACATCAACACACAAATGATCAGGGCATCGGTTTTAGATGGTTGCTCTATTGGCTACTATCATCGCTCTAGGGCCTCCATCAGTCAGCTCAACACCGATCTTTTCACTTTTCGGTGTTTGCATGTGCATCTGCCTTTTTATTCGTCGTTAGTCACACCATGAAATGCAGGAGGGGAACTGTTGTCAGTTCATCCCACTTCGCCAGCCACTTTTGTAGGTCACTAGGCGTGTTTCCCTCTAGGCTTTACATGATTCAGGGTTGGGTACCTGGTGGCAACAGACATCCTACTTTCTAGATGAGTGTTCCACCATCTGTTATGCAAGTCTTGATGTTTTGCCACAGCCTTTGTACATTGAGAGACCCCCACACCAAAACTCAACAGGCCCCAGGCTACGAGTCTCGCCAGGGGTTCCCTTTTTCTTCGTTTGCGTTGCGGAGTTCGGGGAGCCAAGCAATCTGGCAACTCAAGTGCCACGCTCTTGGACTTCCCGGTTAAGATGCTGGGCATCTCATTTGCACCAGTTTTTTTTTCATATTGGGATTGTCTCCATCCACAGTTCTTAACATCTTCACAATTCCTTGTTTAGGCCTTTTGTTTGGGAGTTGTCGGCAGACTACTCTAAGTCTTGCACCCCCCGCGCCCCGCTGCAGGTCCGCGTCGGCGGCGGATGGATGGCCGCTTTGTCCTTCCTGGAGAGGCTGGCGACTCGCGTCGGGCGACTCGAGTCCGCAAAGCAGGTGACTTGGAGATAGCGGTTCGGGTCAAAGGTGGTCATTTAAGTTTTTTGGGAAGACCATTTTAGTGGCAAATAAAATGTTTGAACTTTATGGGGCCAATCCACTCAGGAAGTGAGCACTGGTGCGGGATCTTGTTGCTTTCCTTTTAGGGCCCAACTGTCTGCTCGATTGAGTGGGAGGACTCCTGACCAAGCGTAAGCGTCCCTGTCACAACGGCAGAGTGCCAGATGCAGCGAAACAATCAGCAGCCCAAACCTTTCCGCGGCACCACCCCGGCACAAACTTGGCCGAAGCTGGAGGTGTGTTTGATGAGAAAAAGGTGACCCAAGCCTGTGTTTGCAGATGTCACTCTTTCGGGGATTTGAATCTTGATCTCCTTCGGGAGGTTCCCACATGACATGCCGGTATCTTGGTTTGCAGGGCATGGGCGGCTGGTTGCCGCCACTTCTGGCTTGATCGAGGGGTCCCGTACATGGGATGACCAGGGATGCCACCAGCAAAGATGATTTCCCCCCACTTGGAAAGCAGATCCTTGGTCAATCTGCCGGCCAGGAATATATGGATCAACCCCCCAACTTCTGCGAGTTCACTCGGGTGAGCTGTGAACTTTGAGCGTCACCCTTCTTGTTGGGCGATCCAACAATTCCCCAGAAAACAATCCCTTTGTGCGGCTCACAAATCGCGCATTGAAGTTGTGGTAAAACACATCCGTTTCATGGACCTTCAATGACCAGTGGATACATGGAAATGCTCCTTTGGGGTTCCCTAAGCACCACCCAGAAAAAAAGGAAAAGAAAACGACACTTTGCTTTGAGAACCCCTCCATAGGAAGCACAGCACTCCATGGATTCTCGAAATCGGCAGGTACGGGCCGATGAACATGGGCCGCTACGCGGAAGACCACCAGTTCAACTGCCCGAAGCCCAGCGGTTGCCAGGGCCAAAGGCAGGCCCAGCGCGGAACCCACAAGTGCTCCAGGTGTGGAGAAATATCCTTCTTGAGAGCCAGGTTTCTAAGTTCCACGTTGGTTTGTAGGGGAGTAGTAGGAACGGTCATGCAGACCAGAAACATAGGGGTTTCTGCGGATGGGACGCCATGACCATGGTTCACAGGAGCTTTGATGGCACATGGATCAGGCGGTGAGTTTTCCGATGTCAGGCGACACATTGGAAGATCCGAATCCCCCTGTTTCCATTTGCTTCCGAATTGGAAATTATCTTGCTAAAGCCGTGTCACGGCGCATGATTCAATGATTTTGGCAGAAATGAGGGCGAGGGGGAAGGCGCCAAAATTCTATGACCCGCTCAGAAAGGCTCGCAAGGAACCCTTTGAAACCTTTCCCGCGAGAACGGGTGGGGCAACAGGCCTTTGGTTTCTCCCCGTGACCATGGCTTAAGAATTTGCATTAATTACAGCGCGCTCATCGAACTGGTTGATGAGGGGAGGATTAGCATCTTCATTTCGATAGCTTGCCTTGTGCGGGTGACATCCATATTTCCTTACATAATTTTAGTCTGGTTGAACCGTGCCTTTTGATCATTCCTTTCACTTAATTTCAAATGAATGCATCTTAGCAGGGAACCAGCTCAATGTGGTTGGTGCACAACAAACCGCTGATGTCCATCAAAGGGTCCCGCATCAAAATTAACATCTAAATGTTGCTCGAAAGGCGGAAGGCCCCAGTTGGGCTGTGTCTTTGTCTAAAATGGATTTCGGTTTTCCTGTGGGTTCCCCTTGAACACCACAAAGAAGCTGAAGCGGGGTAGCCTCAAACAAGTTTCCCTTCAACGTCACAAAAGATGGTCACCCTGCAAAACGACGAGCCGGCCCGAGCCTCACGGCCGAAACGCCTCGGCCATGAGGCGCCTCAGTGGACGTGCCGGCCTCCATGGAGAGGCTCTTGGCCGATTCCTCGGGCGTTCCTTATGTGCCATCGCTGGGCGTCCCTTCAAGTCCCTTAAAGAGAGAAACAGACACAGACACGGTTCTCCTCTTCAAACCACCCCAGAACGAACACAGACACAGACAGACAGAAAGACGGACAGAAAGACGGACAGAAAGACGGAGAGAGAGAGAGAGAGAGAGAGAGAGAGAGCGAGAGCGAGAGACGGAGACAGACAGACACACACACACACAAACACCACACCGCACCACACCACACCACACCACACACACAACACACAACACACAACACACAACACACAGCACACAACACACAACGCACAACGCACAACGCACACAATACACACAACACACACACACAACACACACACACAACACACACACACACGCACTTGCTTAACGATTCCCAGCACTAAATGTCATGAGAGTTTTGGGCCATCTGATTCATGACCAACAAAACGGTACGTTAAATTACGTAACCCACTTGTTGAGCCACGGGGTCACTGATTCGCAAAGAACATGTACCCTGTGCCAAGGTTACATCTTGTTTACTGTACTGTTGAGTAGCTAGTAGCAGCCACTCACTCATTTTGGCTCGCCTTTGAGCACCTCGCGTAGGCCACAAGCAATTGGCACTCAATTCACCGCAGCTCAGGCCTGCCGGCCTTCTGTGAAACTTCGGAAATTCTACAGAGCTCAATTCTTCATGGGTCAAAAAACGCGAAAAGCGTGTTTTGTTAATACTTACACATCCTTCCAAGCCATAGTAGACACTCATTGCGCCTAACTATGATCTTGCTCAAGCCCCTGGAGTAGATACCCTGAGACCCTGAGATATATCCTGTATTTGCCTGGCTACACCGCTATATACCCCATATGTTCCTGCCATCCGGTTCCTCGGGCACTCACTCGACACGTAGTTATCTTCGGTTATCTTGGAACTTTCCGAGTGCCAGGATTTGATAGCTGTTCTGGGAGGTCCCAGTTTAGTGGGAAGATGAACAGAAGGGCCCAAGGCGAACGCTTTACTCGAAGAATCGTGGCCAAATTTGGGTTTGAAGTGCCTCACAGCTCCGTTTGAATGATTTAGGCCTTTGGTTGGGTGCCGTTGGATCTTTGACCTATATTTGTTCCACTCAGAGCATGTTGTTTTTGCGCAGGGGCAATCGCCACACAGCAAACCCACTTAGCTTGAACTCTATCGGGTTGGATTATTATTTGTCCTTGAACCTTTTAGCAAAAAAAACACAATATTTTCTACAAACTGGTGTTTTGTTGGGGCAGGACGGCACTAGCCACGCCACTCAAGTGAACCCTTGGCCCTCCCCCACTCCTCTCCCCCACTCCTCAAATTTACTGTTTCTGTGCTGTGCTTTTGGGGTACCCCCTGTTTTGCTGACGGGAAACCAACAACGGCCGCCGATTTTGGCGGGTCCCGGACGTTTCGCGTCGAAGCGTCCCGAGGTGCCCACCAAGAGCTGGGCGCAGCGGATCGGCATCAGCAAGTCGCACGCACTCCGAGCCCGGCGAGTGCATGGTTTCCCCTTTTTCTTCGGGGGGGGGGGGGTTCCCCCTGAAAAATCAGCTACCATACAAATCTTCAAATGCGTGTATGGGGACCCTGGAAGAATCAACTACCAACATAGAAATACCTCTATATATATATATATACAAAATACGTGCTGGAAACCTGGGCTCGTTTCCCGCCTTTTTGCAGGGGTATGTTCTGCCAACCTCTGACCAAGAAAGGAGGTCTCGCAACATATCATATGCCCTTTAAAACACGAATAGTTGGAGTTGGGGCTCCGCACCTCAAAACATTGACTAAGCCACGGTCGGGTACAAAGTTTATATTGGGTCCGGTCGTTTTCCTGTTGGGACAACATGTTTACCCCTGTTTATTTCTTGCAAGGGGTCATTCAAGTTTCTGTATACATGCCTATGGAGCCAAGGGGGCGTTTTGACGTCTTCATTTGAGCAAATGCCCAAAGCAGTTCGGCTTCGATTCAATGTGGCTTTCCGGGTGGATCATTTCCCCACCTGAGACAGCCGGGCCGTTGAATCATGTTGATCTGTGATTGATATGGCGCATGCCAATCCGAGGAACCCCCACATGGATGAATTCCCCACAACGGAAGCACCCCTGACTGGGATGGTTCTCTGGATTAATGCCGGGTTGGAGGTTGACATTTGTTTGAGATTCATGAATTTGTCTTGGATTCGATGCTTGATTTGGAGAGGGCATGGGGTGAGCCACGAAGTCTTTACAGAAGTTAGAGGGACAAGCGACGCAGTTTCAGCCAGAAGCAACTACGGGGGAAGAAGCCCACTCATTGTCCCATGAGGGGCAACGGCATTTGACCGTGGAGCAGCCTCTGGCAGGTTCCCAAACAAACTCCAATCTGGTGTTTAGTTGCTTTTGGGATCCCTTTGGTTTTTCAATAGGGATTATGGACATGGGATAAAACAAAAAATGGAATCCGATGCTCCATGTTGAACGGAGCCAATCCTGAGGGCTACGCGGCACCTAACAGAGCACCAATTCTGGAACCGATTGGTGGAGCTCAAATGGGTGCGCGCTGGTTTAGTTGGTACCCATAGCTTGGTGAAAAGGGAAAGCAACAGGACAACCACCTAAAACAGCCTCTGTATTTTGACGCATGGCAGGTGCACCACCCATTTTAGTCTATTTTAGTAGGGATTGGGATGTTCACTGGGGGTACGGGCTTTTGACCCATGGACATATCTAAGTGTCCTTTGTGGCCCCTCGCCATTTGGCAAGGCCGGACATCAGGGAGCAGCGTCGCATGCAGGCAGAACTCGTTCGCCGGGAGGGAAATATCGTCTGAGGGCACACTCACCAAGGTTTTGTGGAGGAGTTTCTTCCATTTGCTTAAGAATATTTGTTATTTTCCCCTGTTGGTTTTAAAGGGAATCTATCACTACTGGAAATGTGTTATTTTTCCAGGGTCTTGGCCAAATGGAAGGTTTGGACGGGATTCTCACGAGACTCCAATGTCAAAGGGGCACCAAATCGATATTGACGACAGTGGCTATCATTTCCCCAAATGTTCACTGCCACCTTTGTCAGACGCTTTAAAGGGGGGTCTACTTGGTGACGTTTGGGCCCTCGGGCCTAAGGTTGATTGACCCAGAGCCAAAAACTAAAAGGCTGAGCATCCGCACAGATTTTATGGTTGGCATTGTCCCTTGCTAGCCTTGGATGCTTAGCCCACTTAGTACCTTGTCGGGGCCTTTTCAGGAGGACCCTAGTCTTCCGATCCCTGCCAGCTTCCTTTTTTGGAAAGAGGATGAATCGGTCATACACGTGGTAAGTGGGACAAAGGGGAGTAGTTTTCTTCCAATCATGGTTACCCAGACCTGGCCGACCGTTTTTTAAGCGGCAACAAGTCTTAATTTGTTCAGAAGTTCTCAGTTTGTCCCAGGGCTATGCCGACGGTGGAATCATACCGCCCAAATTTCCCCCACAGCCGAAAGCTATGGAGTTGATCTCTGCCCAAATCTCCGAGAAGAGTCGGAACAGCTCTCAGGGTTCCGGAAGGGTTTCTACCCTTTTTGGGGTGCTTACAAAAAGAGACCAAAGGAACACCGTCCCGGGAAAAAGCATGGACTGTCCTCTTCTCGTGGCCTGCACGTGGAATTGCATGCACGGAGCCGCCCCTTGTGCCATATTTCTGGATGGGACAATCCCTCTTGAGAGAGAGGCTACACTCTCTGGTGCAGAGATATATGTCTTCGATGATTCTAGGAGTTGATCCCCCATTATTTTGAATCATGGTTCTTTTCAAAAACCAGCTGTTTCTCTGGTTTTTGATGGTTTCCTGAAAAGAAGGATCCCTGGAAAGAATGGGGAAGGTCCCCTAGAATGATTTCGTGAAACCCCAAAAGACAAGTGTCAGACACCTTCAGGAACGATATAGTGATGCCCAAAGAGCAGAAGCGAAGTAACTTCCCATTCCAAATCGCCCAAAGTAGGCAAGTACTAGCAAAAGGACCCGCTTTTCGCCCGTTGCCAGTTTCAAAAGAAAACCAAAAGGAAACCAGCCATTTTAGGGGCCCGCCTATTTTGACTCATACCCATATGACCATATTGGGGCTGGGGACAATGCCGGGAGTTGACCGCTTCAACCCAGGAATCGGGGGAATCCTTTCGGGGAATCTGCGTCTACCTTGTGACCAAACGATGGAACCCCACGTGCGAGAGATCTCGTGAGGACAAGACTGTGGAGGACCGCCGGTTTCAGCAATACGTCCGAGAGGGTGCCCTCCCTGTTTCTAAGGGCCTTTGCACAATCAGAGTGGGGTTGCGAGGATTTTGTTAAAACCAAATTAAAGCCATGATCACAGGACAAGAATGTTTGTAATTGTTCAGCCTAGCCCTTAATATTAACCCCCCAAATGGGGAATTGCAACCGAACGTTTCCTGGGGGGGTCTTCGGTCTTTTTCCCGGTTCCGACTATATGTTGCCAAAAATAGGGCGACCCCAACCATTGTCGTTCTCCTTTCGGCTTCATTAAGTAGTTAATGTTGGATACTGTTGCATGACTAACGAGCTCATGGTGGCAAGACCAGCGATACAGTAGCACCATGTAGCGCCCAGAGTTTCGGCTTCTTGAGGATTCAAATAAATGTGACCAAAACAAAAAAACTGCCACGGGGGAAACCACCCCGTTTGCGCGATGCCCCCTGTTATGGGCCGAACAAATAATTCCCTTTTCGAGCTTCGCCAACCCAGATGCTTGTTAGATCTCATAGGGAGCCCAGGTCAAGAGTTCTATGCATTGGCCAGAATGTTTCGTGCTGGAAAACGACTCCAGTGAGGCCCTCTGCCCTTTGTCCTTGGGATTGTTTTCCTTTCAGGCCTCTTCACGGAGATGGGCCTGATTCAATTGTCCCCATTCTTTCCAACCCTGTCTGGCTGGAAACAATGATTGAACAGAACGGCTCACCTCTCAATTGTGTGGACTTGGAAGACCATTGTAGTGGCAAAGAACAAGTTATGGAGATATGTAAGTATTATGTAAAGCTAAAAGCTATATGTAAAGCTAAAAGCTATACCTGGTCAACCAATCAGCTTGGGCACTTGTTTTGGCCAATCGACTCCCACAAATGGAGCGTTCGCTCAGGAGTTGCCTGAAGAGGCTGGCTTCCGAAAGTCTGTGCGATCACCGCAGTATGATTTCTTGCCGCACTCCCTGATTTTTCCTAGACTTCATACTGTTGGCAAAGACCATGTTACTGGGGTCTCACAAAATATGTTTCAAGGTGGACCAAATACCCAGGAACTAAGCATATTATAATCGATGTTCCTTGGGGAGTTGGCTATTCATAATTGCAAGCAACAAATTTGAACATTGTTTAAACTCAGCTCGAAAAGGTTAAGGCTACTCCTGTTGGGGTCTTCAAAGGGAGACCAAATGGAAGACGCACACAGCTGCAATGGTGGGTTGCAGGTCGACCCAATTTTGAACCTGGATGTTCGAACCTCTGGATTCAACTGAGGGTTCGTGAATGGCACTTGTTCTAAAGCGCTTTCCGGTGGGTTCCGTGTTGATTGGAGCACGTCTCGCCGAGATGCCAGATGGTTTTCTGTACTTTGCATGACCAAGCTGAAACAGATTGCAGTGTCACTTGGATGTTGAGCCCACGTCAGGGAAGCAGGTAATGACTATGATTGGAGCGAAGCTAGTCCCGTTTAGCCGCCTTGCAATGATGGTTGTCACCGAGGCACCCTCTTTTCAACCAATTGTCGTGGACTCTGACAAGAGGGTTTTGTAAAACTACGGTTCTTCTGGACATCCAACCCGGACGGGGACCCTTGTTGTTTTCTTTTGGAGGGGCGTCCCTTCAAAATGCCCCAGCCAACAAGCAAGTGAGTCACAGTCCCGGGTGAAGGCTAGCAAGGGACAATCGTAGCTATAGGTTTGTGCGGATATTCGGCCTTTTAGTTCTTTGCACGGCCCTAACCAGGTGTTGATGGCTCAGCTGCCCCGTCTTCTAGGTTTCGGCCAAAGCACCGCATAGGTCCCTGAAACAGATCTTGACTTTAACCTTTCGCTTTTGGGGGAAAGTGATGAGTTGCCCCAGTATCATGCAACAAGTGTTGTTTTTGTTGGCAGAGAGCAATAGCCATAGATTGTGGGCCTCCTGGTATACAAAGCTAACTTCCAGTAGAGTCTCCTGTTCTCTCCGAGCTGGGGACCGCGATTTAAGTTCCCTATAAATCCTTCATGTTGAGGGTCACCAAATGAATGCTTGGGTATGGGTCAAACTTCGCGGTCTTCACGGTTCAGGGGGACCGCAGGTTCTAGTCCTTGGTTCCATTTGGGGTACCCGCTTTTTTTGACCTTTGACCCACCGTTTGGTTTGGTTTCGGCGGCGTTTCGGTCTTTCGGTCTCCGCTCAGGCGCGGAGCTTTGGGGCAAAGATGGCCTGGAGCAATGTGGCCGGGTCCCGAGGGATGGGCGAGGGCGGAGACACCGAAGCCAAAGGTCAGTTGCCCCCATCCCCCAAGAAGCTTAGGCAGAAACCGTTCAGTCAAGAGCATTTTCAGATACGGGTTTTCGAGGAAGTTGTGGAATCCTTGCAAACCAACAATACTCAACCAACAAACCATGGCAAAACGTGGCTAATTGAAGGCTTTTCGCGTTCTCTTACTTGCAATATTTCGGGAATCCACCGCAGGCCGCCTGTGCCCCAGATCTGAACCCTTGAAAGAGAGCCCCTTCTACAACTCACCTCCCAAGTCATTGGACTTTAGCACAGGAAGAGCAGTTTGGTGGTAAGCAGCACATCTGGACTTGTTCAGGCCAATCCACTCTATTTAGAGGAAGGGTCCCTTCCGAACCGTTGCTCTGGGTTTGATGGCCGGTTGAGGGTTACCCTTCTGGGATGTTTCAACGAGAAACCTGGCGGAGTCGCCGCCGTGATGCTGGTTCTTGCTTGGAGACGAGGGGTTCCTGATTCTCTTTAGATGAAGTATAGTTAGCCCAGATCCAAGTATTGTTTGGGGTTCTAAAAGCTGCGTTTGGACGAGGATTCCGTTTCACCATGGGGCAGGTCATTTGGACAGGGTTCCCGGTGTTGCAGTGTTGATGATGATTTTAACGTCAGTGTTTGGGCCAAATTAAGCCGAGTTTCTTTCTGCCGGGTTATATTCCATCTTGTTTTTTGAGGGAAGGTCAAAATTGATCAACATTACTTTTGGGACCCGGATGGACGTCATCCAAACTCACTCCCCTAACCGGGCGGGGGGGGGGAATCCCATAACTAAGATTCACCGCCTTGAAGGGTGTTGTGTGTTGCGCATGTGCCAGTTGAATAGCTAGACCCACTCGGTTGTCAGGGACCCTAGACAGGTTCTTATAGACTGGCAAAAGGACAGCCATCTCGGTCGTCAAGGGCCCTAAACAGGTTACAATACGCAAAGGACAGCCATGCGGATCACATCCCAAAACTCATCACTGTGTTAGGACTCTATTTTAGGTCACCCAAGGTTGGTCGAGATCAATCCTTGTATAATCGCCTTCATCCTTATGTCAGCCAGATGAGAGGTGTTTAACGTGTCATCGTGCCCCACTGAAGATTACAGACTAGGATTAGGGGCACTTCCCGTTTTCCGCAGGCCAAGCCAGATGAGGCCGGGAAGCTCAGGTGGTGCTCGCATTGCCTTGTGAAAGGAGTCATCTACCGTGGAAAGTCCGGTTTATCAAAATGTAAAATAATGGGTGTTTGGAGAAGGATTGCTTTTGGAGGAGTTGGAGTCCGTTGGATTTTTTGTTTGGTGGGTCCTCGCTACAACATGGAATCAACACCCAAAAAGGATTCCAATGTGTTTTTGTTACCGTTCAGGTCTCCAATCCAGCCGCTTGGATCATACACCTAAAATTCCCAAATATGGCAATATGTTTTTCCTGGTGTACCCCGGATGTGCACCAGGACCAAGGTCAGAGGTGCTTTAGCAGCAACCAGCGGAAGTGAGGCAAAGGCTAGTTCGCGGTGGGCGACAAGATGCGAAACCTACCCAAGTCTCCAGTTGTGCCCTTTGCTTTCTTTTTTTTGCTGAGAGGGCTTTCCCTTAAAACGAATACCACAAAAAACATGCAATTACGCAAAGTCCCCCAGTTTCACAACCTTCAGGTTCCTGACTGCCAAAGATGAGCTTCAGGGAAAGCGACTCTATCCGCAATTTCAACTCAGCGACCAGTGAACACAGACATGTCCACAAATTTGACAGCACTGCGGATATTTGCAGATTTCCATGACGGCAGAATTGCGGACAGCCCGTAACACATGTACGTTTGTTTCCTTTGATACTGCATGTATTGACCATAAGGTGATGCCTCGTGACTTAGTGGAGTTAGATAGTGGCAGGTAACCAGGATGGTTTGTTTTGGTCTTCCACTGACTACAGAGGCTATGCATATTTGGAGTCTCCAATCAAGCGAAGGGGTCGACGGGGATCCAGGATCGTGTTTGCTGGGATTTAGTTTTTCTTCGGTGTGTGGTGGCTTTCCAGTCGGAAAGAGATGTTCATCCCCATAGACCTTCGGAGAACCATTCCAAGGGGTGTTTTGTTGGGGTCCTTGTATTTTCCCGTGATTTTCCTTTTGACAGCGTAGATGTGCGCGAGCTTACTTTAGGGTGATGTTTGGAGTCAGCCAAGGAACCCTCTCTCTCGAGGGAACCGGCGGATAAAAGGTTCTTGGTTGCGGCTTCATTTCCGCCGGCATGTCGCTTAGTGGTTTGGTTGTTCGGTGTGCATTTGAAACGGATCTGCAACAAGTTACACTACTCTAGCAAGCGTCAGAGAAGGGCTTGCGCCTTCTCCTTTGGTTTCATCATCAACTACTTCTGAAATGGTAGCCCATGAAAAAGGCTTACGTGGGGCTGAGGGCACCTTCCTTCAAGCAAAAACATCGACAATGAGAAGGATTCCGCGACCCTCAAAAGCTGAGGTCTTCACCCTTGAGCTTTGTGGAACATTTGTTGTTGAGACTCCAGTGCGACAGAGAATCAGCTTCCGTAGTTTGGTTTGCAGATTTGAGCCCCCAGTTCCTCCTCTTGAAGCCAAGGGAGGTATCCCCGAAGCTAACCACCCCGCAAAGACGTGAGGGGTACCTATCTGGGTCTCCCTTAGGATAGACTTCACGCAAAGCACAATCTGCCTGCTTGGAGCACCCGGGTTTTGGTTGCCAAAACGCGGGTTGCCAAACAGGAAGTTGATGAGTGCGAGAAGGCGCGGATCCGAGTCAAGATTATATTTGTTACTCCAGGCTCTTGAACCACATATATATATAGATATAGACATATCTACATCTACATATATATATAAGATGAAAAGAAGGAGAAATAGAAAGAAAGGAAAACATGGGACATAGAAAGAGACGCTTAGAGCTGGTCCAAATTCTATGACTTTATTATTGGCCCAGCTCTTGGTCGAACCGTTCACTTTCCATCTCTCGCTCCCTCCACTTGTCTATTGCTGTGAACCTTGAAATCTCTGGTCACTTATTTTTCCTAAGCTTGCGAATTTGGAATCTCTAGAAGGGGAACTTGGTTTGAGTCTAAATTTTAAGGATATCATCCACATCCAAACTTAACCCGTAACCCCCCCCTCCTCGCCCAAAGCCTGGGTGAACTGCGGGGGTGGGAAAAATCCATCCAGCCGAGCGAGCCTCTCCCGCTCAACAAGGGATTTGGAATCCTGAAAATTGGTGGCTTCCTTTTCGTTTCCCTGAGATACCCTCAAAAAAAGGTCTCACACACACACACACACACACACACACACACACACACACACACACACACACACACACACACACACACACACACACACACACACACACACACACACACACACACACACACACACAGACACAGACACAGACACAGACACAGACACAGACACAGACACAGACACAGACACAGACACAGACACAGACACAGACACAGACACAGACACAGACACAGACACAGACACAGACACAGACACAGACACAGACACAGACACACACACACACACACACACACACACACACACACACACACACACACACACACACACACACACACACACACACACACACACACACACACACACACACACACACACACACACACACACACACACACACACACGCACACACACACACACACACACACACACACACACACACACACACACACACACACACACACACACACACACAGACACACACAGACACACACAGACACACACACACACACACACACACACACACACACACACACACACACACACACACACACACACACACACACACACACACACACACACACACACACACACACACACACACACACACACACACACACACACACACACGCACACACACACACACTCGGTTGACAAGGTTGACGTCCATTTGGTGAGGTGGTTCAGAAAAGCTGGTACTCAAATCGGGTTTCGTCCCTGCGAAACGGATGTTGCCCATCAGTAGCTTACTTGTCTAAATGTTTGCCTTTGTGGAGCCTTGTGGTTGCCCCGACCTTTGCCATGAGTTCCTGGACTTGGTTTGCAAGGGAGACCTGTTTAAGCCGCTGACATCTTTTGGCCAGCAGAACTAGCCACGCGTTCAGATCTGTGAAGCGGGTTTGGGACCAACACCGTTTGGGTTGTCCCAACACGACAGAAACACGCAAATCGAAGCACGGTGGACATCTCTCTCAGCACCCCTCCCTGCCTCAGCTGTTCAGCTTTCAAACTTTAACATTAAGAAGTGTTTAACCTCCCACTAACCTGCATTAGAACAAAAACTTGAGCAAACATAGGCAGGTGGCGATATCCATCATGCATAGTTCACTTAATATGGTCCATTCAAGTTTTTGAATTCTGACCGCTTTTTTTCGCTTACTTTCCCGTCCTAGCGGTTCTCCCTGACTCACCAGTTCTGTGGTAATTCTGAAGATTCACGTTGATGGACCCAGCCAACAATTCATTGTCCAGATTCGAAGATGTTGTCTTCTTTCAAGGCAATGCTTTTCGAATCCCAGACCATCCTGACTGAAGACGCCACATGGCATGGGGTGGTCTGGATACGGAACCCTGAATTTGGCGGGTTTCCTTCTTACCAACTTCCTGATCAGGGTACCAGCAAAGGAATCCATTGTTGACCCTCTCCCTTTTCAGTGGGGATTCCTTTTCCCAGGGGGACCAGGACCCCTGATGAACAACTGGGGAAAAGGCAGGTTACACAAATGACCAACCCGCAGAACCCGAAGCAGGAACCCGAAGACACGACTGGCCACTACGAACCACTCCAGAGCCCTTTCTCCCGTGCGACGACCGCCAAGCTTCCAGCAGTTGGGGACAAACATCACCAACAATGGGGTCACTCCGCATGGTTGTGAGGGCCACTTTCTGTGATACCAAAAGAGGACCTGAACCTGAAAGCATTTTCCATGAGACGCAGCCTGAATCGGTCCTTTTTTCCAACCATGCATTTCACTGTCTACTGTCCCTGTGCATTCACTCTGTACTTGCCCTATGCATGCCTCTATGCATTTCACTGTCTACTTTCCCTGCGTGTGCCTCTATGCATTTCACTGTCTACTTTCCCTGCGTGTGCCTCTATGCATTTCACTGTCTACTTTCTCTGCGCATGCCTCTATGCATTTCACTGTGCGCTCTCCCTATGCATGCCTCTATGCATTTCACCCTGTACCTTGCCCTATGCATGCCTCTGTGCATTTGACTGGGTACTTTCTCTATGCATGCCTCTATGCATTTCACCCTGTACCTTGCCCTATGCATGCCTCTGTGCATTTGACTGGGTACTTTCTCTACGCATGCCTCTATGCATTTCACCCTGTACCTTGCCCTATGCATGCCTCTGTGCATTTGACTGGGTACTTTCCCTATGCATGCCTCTATGCATTTCACCCTGTACCTTGCCCTATGCATGCCTCTGTGCATTTGACTGGGTACTTTCTCTATGCATGCCTCTATGCATTTCACCCTGTACCTTGCCCTATGCATGCCTCTGTGCATTTGACTGGGTACTTTCTCTACGCATGCCTCTATGCATTTCACCCTGTACCTTGCCCTATGCATGCCTCTGTGCATTTGACTGGGTACTTTCTCTATGCATGCCTCTATGCATTTCACTGTCTTCTTTCCGACTTTGCAGCCGGAGCTGCGGGGACGCTTTTCGCACACTACTTTTGTACTTAAACAAGTTGCGACTTTGCAGCCTGATCCCTGCAGACGGTCGCGCGCAGACCGCGGAGATACCTGGACCTTCCTGCATGCTGGGTTGTAAATTTGGGTGTAAAGCACAATCTCCCCGAATCTACAGGCGAAAATTCCCGACAAACAGGCGAACATTCCCGACCAACAGGCTCAAACAAATATGGCTCAAACAAATATGACCGCCGGCGTTTTTTCGCTCTGAAAGCATTTTTCACGCCAACGACAAAAACATGTTTTTTTGGCCAAAGCCGAAAATTATCGACCCCCCAAAAGGTCCAGGTATGCGAAGATTTACACGGGACCACAGCGAGAGCGATCTGACACGCACAATCTCCGCACAGGGTCGCGCACAAACCGCGAAGATTCGCACAGGACCATAGCGAGAGCGATCCGACACGCATGATCCACGCAGAGGGTCGCGCGCGCGCACGGCAAGAAGGAATCGCACAAAAAAAACAGTTTTGTACATCGACCACGCCGATCCCCGCAGAGGGTCGCGCACGGCCCGCAAGAATCGCAAAAAATGCACATCGACCACGCCGATCCCCGCAAAGGGTCGCGCACGGTCCGCCAGAATCGCAAAAAACTCCAGTTGTTGCACATCGCGGCCCGCAAGAATCGCAAAAGACTCCAGTTTTGCACAACGACCACTCCGATCCCCGCAGAGGGTCGCGCGCGGCCCGCAAGAATCGCAAAAACTCCAGTTTTTGCATGTCGACCACGCCGATCCCTGAATGGGTCTCATTTCGCAGAGCGCGCTTGGTCCCACCGCGCCGCCTTGATACTAAATTAATTCAAGAAAGCGTGCCAGTTTCCTCGTGCAAGTTATGCTCGTGCGAGAAGGAATTCAAGATCGCTACGCGTTTCACTGTGTACTTTTCCTATGCATGCCTCTATGCATATCACTGTCTACTTTCCCTGTGCATGCCACTGCATTTCACTGTGTACTTTCCCTGTGCATGCACCTGTGCATTTCACTGTGCACTTTCCCTATGCATGCCTCTATGCATTTCACTCTATACTTCCCCTATGCAGCTGAGCTGTGCACAACGCAGCGACTTTTCCGGAAGAACCCTTCGCAATGCTTTCGGGAAAAATGACAACGGCATTCAGGATGGCTCGCTTCTCAAAGAAAGCGTGGGCAGGCACACTCTGCCCTCCAGCCCTTGCCGCAGACTCGGTCTCCAGAACGGGGGGTCAAGCTTTGCACCTGTGCAAAGTTTGTTGAAGCGACCAAACCCAATTCGGCACCCCGCTTTCCTCCAAGACCAGTTCATGTCGGGTAGACTACAGAAGAAACATCTTCAACCATCATGTTCTGTGTTTTTTTGTGGGCCAAGTAGAGGTTGTTGAAGCCATAGGGATATTTAAGCATGTCGTCACAACGGGTCTAACGGAACAAGGAACCACACTCACACACCATCGGAGGGACCCCTGTTCAGACACTATGCCTCTTTTTCGCAGCGTTCGGACATCACCTTTGTTGGTACACAGGAAACATGGCGACTCTTGGGGTCCAAGCACTTCCCGTATCCCCGCCAGTTTGGATCATCTTCTACAGTTCCGATTGCATGGTTGTCTCTTGTAGTCTGTTGGAAACAAACAGTTGGCCCTCACTCCCAGGGTTCCTGGATCATATTGGTGGCAAGTGAAAAGTTCTGACGGTCGTTTTTGGGGGCCGTCCACTGAGGAACTGAGTTTTAGTAGCAACAAATTCGGACTTTTTCCTTGGCCGGCCACTCGAAGTGAGGCTCGCGAGGGTCTGAAACGGAGCTTACCGAGCATTGGTTGGTCAGAGTTCCTTCCCTTGGGTTTCTGAAGAACCCGAGCCATACAACGTGGGAGCTTGGACACCAAGTAATTATCCCCCAAGGATCTATACCTTCCCACAAACATGAAATCTTCACGGAGGTCTTGGGAGAATATTTCAATCCAAGGAACCGGTTCCTGCGCAGCTTCAATTTGTTTGTTGGGAGGCAGACTTGCATTTTTTCGTTCTGAATCAATTTTTCACCATTCCGATCGGTTAGGACCGGATGGCGGCAGAAGGAAAACAGTGTAGTTGTTTAGCGCCTTTTTTTGGTTGGTGTTTTAAGGGAAAGTTATTGAACACCTCCGTTTCTTGTTTGGGGGGGGACTCCTAAAAAGAGACACTGGACACACAAATCCTTGCAGATACCTCGTGCTCAAGTTAACTTCAACATGTTCCCATTCGGATCGCCAAACTTGTTGGTGGCTTTTGTGGCTCCAAACCTTTGAGCAATTCAAGCCCCCAAAGTTGACCGCCAACTGTTTGGACGCGTTCCTCTCGGTGCTTTCAAACCTTTTCAATCAACTCCCCGAGTTCCTGGACTTAAGTTTGCTGGGAAGATCATTGTGGCACAAGTTACGGGTCCTTCAAACCTCTGCAAATGGTTGGCAAAGGGGGCACAATGCAGTTGGTCCCAACCGGCAACTTGGTCCAAAACGGCTTTCTTCCGGGAAGGCGTTTGGATAGTTTAAACAACAGTTCAATCTGAGCCTTTCCAGAGAGTGAGCTGTGCGCATTGAGACAGTCCTCAAAAGCGAGGGTACTCAAACAAAATCAACCCCGCTTAGGAAGTTGAGGTTTAGGGTTTGGGTTAGGTTTGGGGTGACTTTGACCTCCAGCCGTCATTTTTGTAAGTTGAATGTTCCAAGTGAGCAGACAAACCCGACGAAGTTCGCAGGTTGCGGTGCTCACCGGCCGAAGTCTTTGATTAACTTTTGTGGTATTTCCTGAGTTGAACTTGGTCTGAATTTTCTTGCTGGCTCCCAGCCATCCCCTTAGCTTTGTAGCCTTTTAGTGTTTAGTGGTAGTTTCCATTTGACCCACTAAAAGTCAAACTTTTAGCAGGGGATCTGAGGGCAGCCCAGTTTGGTGAGGTCCCCATACCTGAGGACCATGCAAGCGTCGGATGGAACTGAGGCCCTGGCCCGGTGACACGCGCTCAGCCATCGAGCGATGAAAGAGCCGGACCCGCGCGCGGATCCGCGCTGAAGGAAGCTGTGCAACCAACCGAAGTGCCAACCAAATGGGCATGTGTTACCCTTGAATCCACGCCGAAAATGGGGTGCCCTCTGCAAAATACACGCCCTTGAATTAAGTCCTTGTTGGTAAGTCTACACTTCTTAGACAAATAGCTGTATTTTGGAGTAGGATGTGATGCCCGGATGGAGGGGATGATATGGCTCAAAAGTCTGACAATAATAAACAAGAGAAACAGAGCCACAATCAAATGCCGAAGTGAAGGTCAGGGACAGTCCCATCAGAATCAAGGCATTATTTTCATTTGTGTACACGGTTAAGGGGTCGGCGTCTGGAATACCGGGGCTTGACTGCGACTCAAGTGCTAAGTTCCAGGTTGCCAAAGACTTGCGAGTTCATAGATGTTTTCCCCAGAAAGGTCATCCTCCCATTTTGGGTTGCGCCCTCATGAATCAACCTTCCCCAAATAAGACTTACTGGATCCCTCCAAAATTGCTCGCACAATCAGCCAGTGTATCAAGAACAACTCACTGGACAGGGGAAAAGTTCACCTCACAACGATGAATTCTGGTTGCAATTTAAAACCGGGCAAAGCAGGCAGCACGGAAATTCCATTCTCGGCGACATTTTTCGAGCTTGTGAATTATAGAGGGTTGTCTTTGCGTTAAAGGGAAACCACCTTTTGAAGCTTGACCAGTTTAGGTGGGACCTTAGGCCGTGCAGAGCCTTTTGGGTTGGGTCAACTTGGTGTGCCGACGTTGCGGCTTCAAAGACATTGTTTCTTTGTTTGAGTCCGTTTTTGTTCACGCAACATGAGCCCCTGAAATTGGAGTCGGGGCCTTTAGTTTGCACCTTTCGTCCTATCCGAGGATCTGGTAGGCCCACTGTTTTCCCACCGGAATCGCCGGGCTTGTACCGTATTGCCCTGGCGTAGCTGACGATGACCGCAAACACTCGTGGAGGTGCAAGTCTTGATTAAGTTTTGTTAAAGATGCTGGAACACCAAAAGCAGGGGACGATGGTTGTGTCGATTTTGTGTGCTTGAAATGAGTTGTCGGTTTGTGCTTCGAAGAAGCAACTCGGGGTAGGCCATTGGCCAAACAATAATTTGCGCATGAGTGGAAGCAGCTCATGTGGCTTTCGACATGCTGCAGTTGCAAATCCCTTCCCAGCCCATCAGAGGCAGGAAGGACAAATCAGACTGATGCCTGCCTGCTAAGTGGTGAGAGATGTTGTGAGTTGCGAGGTTTGACCAGGTACCAGGCGTAAGGTGATGGAATTCGCATCACACAATGCAGTCTCACGGTTTCAGCGTCGGCTAAAATGGTGCGCTTGTTTGCTTGGAGCTTCCGTCTGGAAGTCGTTTGCTTGACCTTACGTGCATGTCCCAGCCCCTTGAAACCCTTGCAAAATCCAACGCTGGACGCGACGATGGATGCCACACAGAACGCGACGAAGAACGCGAAATGCGCCGCGACGATGCTCGCAAACTCGACGATTCACGGCACCGCTGTTATTTTCAGAGTTCATTTGTGCGAAGGCTTTGGCGGCCGATTCTTTACAGTTTGTTCGCTATGTGGCAATGATTTTCAATGGGGAACCCTCCAAAGTGAGTGGTGGACATGACTTACCATAGTAAACGATGTTTCCTAAAGGGTGTCCCAATGAATTGCTCCTTCAGTGGAACTGGCAGAGAGCGCAAGCGGTGCGCCAGTCTCGATTTCTCGGGCCAGGTTTTGCCGCAAGAGACGCGTTCAAAGCTCACTCCTTGCTTGTCAGTTCGACAGGTAAACGTGCCAATGGCTTCGACCTTGGGTCGATGGTCCGGTGGACATATTTTTGGCGTCCTTATGGAAAATGAGACCCAGGTGTCCTCAAGGTCCGAAGTCGAATGACAGGCCCTTTGATCGTTTGTTCACACACCCGGCGAAGCTGCTTGGTTGAGTTTCGGGGAGTTGCTGCCGGCCAAGGCTGACCTGATAAAGTTATAGACCTCGCCAGCCCATGCAAAGGAACAAGCAAGCTTGACTCTAATTTGGATCTTTAGCTTCTTCTTCTTTAATTGTGTGTTTTCCCTGCAAATCAACAAGCGCACCTGTTTGTACGGGGGACACAGCCACCCAGCAAGGGAACCAGGACTGCGGGTGCCAGTAGAAATCATTCATGACCATGGGATAGCAGTGTTAGCTCAGCCCCATGGGCCGGGTTTTGATTGTGGCTAGGCGACTTTCGTTCAATTCACACCGGAAGTCGCTTCCGGCTTCGCTTCTTGGCGCTTCTCGAGGCCTCGAGTTGGCAAACCGGTTTTTTTTCGGCGTTTTGCCCAGCCCTCGAGGCCTCGAGTTGGGGCCAGGCGCAGAGGGAACAAGTGATTTCCGGATGGTCAAAAAACCGTTGGGCAAATTCGTTTAGTGACAGAATAATCAAACCACAATTTGGGGACGACCAAAAAGGAACCACCCCTGGCTCGCCGGCAAAACCGCGACGGCTCCAATGGCCTTCAACGGCCTTCACCGAAGGGCCGCCCTTGCGCTCTTCGAGGCTCCCCTCCGCCCTCGATTCGCCTCGGTTCGCCTCGATGGCTATCTTGACCCCGTTCTGTTCTGTCCGGTCCACGTGGTTTCAAGAGGAGCCCTGGAAATGAGGGTTTCATAGTGGTTATATTTTTCCCGAAATAGTGTTTACACTAAGGGGTTCTTACGGTAAGAGTTAAGGCCGGTTTAGATCGAGGTTCGCGCTCAAATTGCTGGCCCTGTGCGCAAAAAGTTGTCTTCGATGCAACAGTCTCGCGCGAAATTAGGTTCGCGCTGGTGCGTGCGCTCTCGTTGTGGCGCCGTGCGCATTTTCGGTTTTTGCTGGCAGGGACGTGGGTACGCGCTGGCGCGTGGGCTCTCGTTGTGGCGCCGTGCGCATTTTGTGGAGACAAATGCATTTTGCTTGCAGGGACGTGACGCGCGGAGGTTCGCGCTATGTTTTTTCAGGAAGCCTCGTACCAAAATGCGTTTTTTTGAGACCAAAGTGCGTTTTTTGATGGTAGGGACGTGGGTACGCGCTGGTGCGTGTGAGGTTGCGACAGCTTCGCATGAAACGCACCTTTCTTCAAAACTGCGCTCTCGCTGTGGCGCCGCGCTGATCTTCGGATTTGTGTGTTGCCGTGCCACGCAGGCGCAGCATTTTCGTAAACAGGGTCTGTGAATTTCGTGGCAGGCGCAGCGTTTCACTCATTTGCAAGCGTTGCAAGACGAAAGTGAACCCTCTGCGGAGATCCTGCATGTCGAAGCGCTCTCGCTGTGGCGCCGTTCGGTTTTTCTGTTTTCTTTGCTTGCGAAGCGGTGTTTGGAAGTTGTCTCGTTGTTTGCGCCTCTGCTTTCACGATCGCGCGCTGTCTCGGGTTTCACCTGCTTGGTCCGCGGCAGCTCCGGCTTGAAAACCGCAACCTTTAATTGCGAAAGTAGTACGCGAAGTGCACTCCCGCAGCTCCGGCTGAAAATTCGCAAGTTTAAGTACAAAAAGTAGTGCGCGAAGAGCGCTCCCGCAGCTCCGGCCCAAAAATCGCAAGCTTTAAGTACAAAAGTAGTACGCGAAGAGCACTCCCAGAGCTCCGGCTGCAAAATCGCAACTTGTAAGTACAAAAGTAGTATGTGAAGAGCTTTCACCGGCTGCAAAATCTTCATGAAAAAAAAGACGGACAGCTGCGCCAATTTTTGCGCAAGAGTATGATCTCCCTTCCCAAGATGTTTTGTTTTATGTTGGGTTCTTGCTGCATCGCGCTACTATTTGGGGTGTCTTGCCGGGACAACTAACCATCAAGTTGTAGAATCAGAATGCCCTTCAACAACAAGCTGGCGGATGTTCGCAGCACACGTGTAGACAGTGCATGTATATTTTGCGGCCGCTGGCCCAATCAGGATTAGAGGATTCCCAACCTGTTTGTGGGCGCTAAGCTCGCGTTCTCAGATGGCCGTGCAAATGCCCGCTTTTCATGGGAGAATTTCTGAGCTTCGCCCTTCAGAGTGATCCTGGTGGGTGCACTCCTTGCACGATCATTTCGTGTCAATGATCTTCCAATCGAACTGGTTGCAGACGCTTGCGGCGCAAATGACATGAGCCCCACGGACACTCGAGCAGGCCTTGTTGCACGGGTCTCCATCTTTGCAAGCAAAGACTACCAGACTTGAACCAGTAGCCCCAGGCTGTGCAGGTGTCCCTGCCTTCTGCGGAGCTCCTGCGTAACTTCCACATGGTTACGAAGCGGAAAGGAGTTTCACGTGGTCGGCGTGACACACAATAATATGTTTTTCTGGGGTCGTGCAGAATTATCTTGGCAGTGTGAGAGTGCGTTCGCGCGCAAGACATAACTGGCGAGGCAGAATCCTGCAGAAGTGCGTGGCTGCGCCATTCGGCAGACACCTCCTTAGTGGCGCCAAACCCCTCAGAACGACTTGCTGAGAGCATAGTGGGCCGACCGTCCTGTTGTCCTTCCAAGAGAGCCCGAGTGTGCAGACGGTGTGATCATTTCACCTGTGGCAAGAGGCTGGGAATGGCCTGCAAACGCCAGCCGAAGGCGTTGCAAAGAAGCTGCAGCTGACATGGCTCTTCAAAGTCGGCCACTGCCAAGCAACTTCAAGTATCAACGAGGATGTGTTTCACGCAGCCGTGCGGCCATGAAATTACAAACGCCATTCCAGCCGGAGGACATGTTTTCGCTTGGGTCCAGATCACAGTCCTGTCGCGCGCTGCACTTTGCTTTCCCTAAGGGCAAAGAGTCGGCGTGCGTGGAGGTCCATGGTTGCAGCTGACACCTTGGCGGCCTTATGTCTTCGCATAGCTTCCGTGCCTTGTGAACCAGTACTCCTCTAAGAGTGATGCTGAACATGGAATTGATTGCCGTCGGGTCTAACCCTTGAGATTCGGCTCGTAACATCAACACAACCAATTGGACCATAATCCATGACCAGGCCCTGTGCCTGAATCAAAACAACCCAAAGCGCACCACCAGCAACGTTCTTGGCCACCGCGAAGTGGCAGTTGGTCCAGCCGTGGGGCCGTAGCCATGTGTTGTCATGATTTCCCATGAAGGTGTGCAGCTTGTTTCCAAGTCAACAGCTGCTCATCCGGAGCTCTGCAAGGCAAGGCCCAATTTGCAGCGTGATCAGGCTGAGCATGCGCGTGACTGAATAGGCGCACCGGCCTGCATCGCTTCGCTGGAGCGCGTTACTTGACCCTTCCTCATTGTGCAACTGCTCAGTGCTGCAGCAGCGCACAAGCTGCACTAAGCCAAGAGCCTATGTCTTGAACCTGCAATTGTCACCGCGAAGGTTTGTAAAAGCTTCCATCGAAACTCGCCCTTTGCAGGCTTATGCATGTCTCTTGCCTCCGTTGCGTCGGAGAGACAGCCTGGCACCTTCGCAGCCTACGGCAGCACCTTGCTTGCCTTTGTCGTACGTGGGAGGACTTGGTAGAGTTGCGTGGAGATGCGTGGCTTAGCTTAAGCGAATGCGCTTTTCCGCACAACTTATAGGAATCGTGGGAGCCAAGGCAAGATGATGCAACGGCTTGTGACCAGAGCCCTGGTCTCACACCAAGGAATCAGGGCCCTGTCACCAACCCGCCCAGAGCCTCGCTGGGCAACGGTGTGTTGGCGCTTCGGCTCATGTCTAGCATGGACAGACGCCTCTTAACTCCTTGCTGGCCCCAGTTTTGCAACGCGCGGGATAGAAACAACAAATGGGCAAGTTGAGGCACAAGCGTTGCGCTTGTGGTGCCAAATGACTAGCGGCCAAATGCTTGAAATGGCATCCACCAAGACCTGTGCACGTCCGACGTGCAGCGGCACCACCTGCACTGGGCTCAGCAAAGCTTCCCACTTGAGAGGCCCGAAGTCCGTCAACACCTCAGCCGCTCAGAATCGTCCGCAACACACACAACGTGAAATGCAACGCATCTTGGTCAATAATTTCCTGCCTGTTGACTAC